AAAATGATAGCTAAACCCTGACGACCTCCCTCCCTTCCCCTCCCCCCGCTGCAGCAAAATTTTGGGGAAAAAATCAGAATGAAATTTCGTAAACTGGTAGGAGGTTGAGGAAAATCTGAGAAATTCTCCTGTTTCCTATTGGGTATAACACCCCCCCCCCCCGGTCGAAGAAAAAAGGTGAAAGACGGTAATCGCGAGCTTTTTTTCTTGCAACATTTGCAGCTCGCAAAAAGAAACGGCGGCTTATATGGAGGTGCGGTTTCTACACCAAAAAATAGAATACTTGTATGCAGTCCCTGCTCGGTATTCTAGTGCCAAAAATACATAACAGCCCACATACAAGTGTGAAATAAATTAGGTAAATATTCCTACTGTTTCAGGCACGCTGGATATTCTTATTGTGGAGATACTGCTGCTCATGCTTTCAAACAAATCGTGCCTGAAAATGTGTACGTGTTCTTTTTTGTTAATTCTTTTATTGCTTTTTGGTATCCATGGATTATACCCCATATCTCCTCTCTCCTGATTTACAAAAAGGTTACAAAATTATTCGTTTTCAGCGATCGTGTTTTCGTATTAGGACCATCACATGTTGTTTGCCTGAATGGATGTGCTCTTACTACATGTAGTAAATATCGTACACCACTTGGCGATTTACACATTGATATGGAAGGTATGTGTTTTCTGAGTGTATGAAGAAATTCACTTCCTGTTGTTACATTTCAATTTTCATATTTTTTTTAATTTCTCCCGCTTTGGTTCCTATTTGGGTAGCTTGATTTATGTTCCATTTATCGAAAGCGCCCATTTAATTGTCTTTCTGCTTGCTGTCGGCGAGATGATAAATGACCATTCAGATTCTCGTTTGGCATAGTGCCTTTTTCCTTGTTTTTTTTCATCTTTTTTTTACTTTTACCTACCAAATGCCTTTCGTGCTATTTTACTCCTGTCGCTAGATATCTTACGCTTTATGATTACTGTCTGCTAATGGTAAGATAACTCATTTTATTGCTGCTTCAATACGTCATATCCCAGAAATGGGGAGGGCGTTGCTGCGTAATTCATTAGAACGTGGCAGCACCTGTGCTTTTGGTGCTGCCACGTTCTAATACTGCTGTTTTGGGACATTTGTAAGAAAGTCTTCGTTCAACATGGGGCAGGATGACAGTTGTCTCAAACGGAAATATTGCATGAAATGCGCCTTCTGAACCATGTTCAGAGAAAGTGTCAGCCACGCCCTCTTCATCCTCTAGATATGGATTGTAACGACGATGTTGTTCTTCATTACCATTTCCTCACCACCATTCATAGGAGTCATCCTTAGTGTGCCATCATATTTTGCATCAGCATTCCGAGCCCAAGCTTTTGAGCGTTTGGAGTGTTCGCTA